AATATGCGTTTTTGCTGCCTGTTGCAGCGCTCTAGCGCTGCACGGCAAAAACGCATAAAAACGCGCGTTTTTGAAAGTTTAGAATTGCTAAGCGAAACAAAATACTATTGTGACGTAAATTTTTGCACATCCTTGAACAGTTAGGCACCATATGGTATTGGCTAGCTTTTGAAAAGACACTCAGTGTGTTGCAAAAGTTTGGTTCTGGTATCTATAGTAGTTTTTTGATCCTTTCAACAGGTTCGGGTAAATAGATTTTCTAATAAAATTGTTACTATAATTGTCAAATAATAAAAGAATGGGTACGTTGTGTTTTCCTCCAGTTCCAGCGTTGTAGCTTTCACAGCTTTCCAGTTGAACTTTTGGGACAGACATTAACAAACAGAAATAAACTTTCACTAGAATGCGTTTTTCTCTTATGCAAGAATGCATAAAAAGTTTAACTTGTCCCAGCTTTTCGGCTTTTTTTTTTGCAGGCACTCTCGGACGTTACCGATGACTTGCATATTTGTATCTGTTTTGGGCGCTTCTTTTGTTGGAACAGATCGTGGTGCATGCTCAAAGTCATTGCAGTATTGCCGGAATTTGATAAAATCACTGCTGTTGAAGTGAACTTGGAGCGAGCACAGCGAAGTTATCAGGCGTACAAACGATTTTTCCGACGTAATTTTAATGTTTCATCTTTGGAGTGTGAATCCGCCACTTTGCAGCCCACCATTTCGACGTGAATGTGCGACCGCAGATAAATGACGGGCTTCCAGAACATCATCCTAAATGCTTTTCATTTGGCCAGCAAGCATTCACATTCAACAGCAGCATGAATTCCCAGGCATAAATTTACAGATCTGCCGAACATGCGCCATTTAAGAGTTTTACGACTGTTTGGCTGTCCATTTCACTTTGACTTCCGCTATATATGGAGACTGATGTTGCGCGGTTTCGACATGCTACCGCAAATCACCGAGCTCTCGATCGACAACTTACTGCGAAACACCGAGTATGAGGACCTGCTCGAGTTCTGTGAAGCAGTACCGGTGGGCCTGCAGTCGCTGACGCTCTGTCGGATGCGTTTTTTTGATGAAACTCATATCCAGCGCATTGCTGAGGTACCTCTCATTTCATTGCATTTCATGAGGAACAAAAGCTGGAAGAGAACAGTGTATGATGGAAGGGAAATAGATGTGATGGCTTAGTGATAATGCCACCACATCTGACGTTTTTGTTCGTTTTCGTTTATATCTTACAA